AGGAGGAGGAGGGGGAAGAGGAGGGGAAGGGGGAGGTGAAACAAGCAGACAACACAGTGAGACATGAGGGAAGATGTGTGTGGCTTTTCACATACATGTGCTTAGGTTTATACACATGCATACAGCAGACAGAGCACAACACGACACGATGATGTTTCACATTTAGATTCATTGTCTGACTGATGCACATGCTTAAAGGTATAGCTCCAGATTTGAGGAAATATAAGAGCTTGTTTTAAGATTATGATTGTCACATCAATAAATATGAAGCTAAAACCACAACTTGTTGTTTTTACACTTGGATTACCCAAACGAGATTTAAAATGTTAATTAGTTTGCTTTAGATGTGCCTGTAGTCTCTCCTCCCCCGTTTTTAGTCTTTATGGCAAGCTAAGCTAACCAGCTACTGGCTCCAGTCACACTATTTAGTGTATAAACATGAGAGTGGTAGTGTAATAAGCCCACTAGTTATTTTAGTTGTTGTTAAAATATAATTTATATATAATGGTATAATTTTAGTGACATAAAGTTGAAATTATTGTTCAGTGATGAAGAACTCTGTAAACACACATATTCCTCAAGGGTGGCCATTTTTAAAAACCCAGCTTCAAATCTATATTAGAGGTTTTAAAAACCTCAGACTGGTCCCACGCAATATGATGAGGATTCGTTTTGGTTTTACATCTTACACATCTTACATTGAGTGTGCACTCCTTGTTATTTGCTCTGTGGAAAAAACAATGTTGGGAGAAATTATGAGGTGGGGTCTGAATCACTGTACAGTCTCCTTTTGATCCTGGATTAAGTCTAGAGTTAATAATTAAAAGAAGATAATCTCTTTAATATCAATTTGCCAGATCTATTCCTGTTTACTACAGAGGGTACTGGCACTTGCAATGGTGGGCTTCCTGTGCAAGTCAAGAGCCAACATTTTCTGGAAAAATCAAAAAGGTGAACAGCTTAAAGCGACAACATTTGAATAGTCTACTGTTGCTTGTGAGTACACAACCGTGTGAGTACACAAATCCAGCAGTGAGGGAGGAAGAGAGCGACAGGAGAAAGAGGAAAAGGTAAGAAGGTAGGGAGGAGTTACCTGAGGCTCCATGGGCCGGTGCATGGCGGAGGCCTCGGAGGAAGAGCCACCGTTGGAGAACGGTTCAGAGGAGCGGGGAGGCAGAGGGGGCTGCTTGGGAGGAGGGGCGGTCTGAGGGGAGCCCTGAATGTTCTTGCGGTAGCGCTCGTCGGCCTGGGATGAGGGAATCGTACAGGACAAAGATGGAATGAGGGTGAGGGGAAGTATTTCGGTGATTGAAGTAAAATAGATAAAAATCAAGCAGAAGGGAACCACTTCTAAAGTTTAATAACAATTTTAAGCCAGAATTATCCCTTTTGGATACAAACTGTTCCCATCTCCTTGTTTTTTTGTAGTATTTTGTCATTTGTCATACTCAGAAACCTTCACATTTGACTGAAAACAATCAACAATACAGACATCTGCTGACAATGGTATTAAACATGCTTGAAGCCCATTCGAGGCAGCCGTACAGACACACATATACATGTGCACAGACACGAGGTGGAGACAGGACTCTCTCAAACAAATACATCCTTGAAAACACATTTGCGATGATAAACGGTGGGAAAAGATCATTGTTAATGACATGGAACAGCTCTGTCGAGGACGGGAGACACCGCCTGGGCGTCCTGCATGTTAGTCTGGGCCTCAGCCATCGACATGCAACGGCCCGATCCACACACACAGAGTCAAAACAGCCATTTTTGACGAGTAATATCACAGGGCGGCCATCCAAGATCAAGAGAAACTCCTAACACCTGTGGTTGTGTATTGTTCTGAGGGGAAAAAGGATGAAAGGGGCACTTTTCTTTCAAGAGATAAAAGAGAGGAAAATTGTGGGAATAAAAAAAGAATCTTCTTTATTTATATGAGAAAAACAGTAAAACAACTATTTGAAAATAGAGCCTAAAGGATGTAATGTTTCCACTTTCTACCAAACCTACAAATGAATTATTTGTCTCTCTTGCTCAGCCTGCTTCTGTGAAAATTAACACATTTCAGACACTAAATGGTTTTAGTAGTCAAGGAGACTAGCAAGAGTGCAAGTGCCAAGAGAGAGTGGAGGAGAACAGCTCTGTTTTATTCAGGAGATAAAAAGGCCAGTTGCTGGTGGTTGCGAGCCTGTGGGTTTCCATTCTCCGGTTTAACCCCTCCCCCATTGTTTCATTCAAAAGAGGGTTTGGCTGAGAGCGCCTGCGTTGTAACTAATTAGTCAGTGCTTTGGAATAACACCATCCAAGACAGAAAACACCAAGTTAAATGCTAAAAAAAATGAAACTAAATTATTTGGGCTTAAAAAAACATCATATATAATTGTTGCTTGCACCACCCATCATGGTGGTCACTGAGGCTGTGTGAAGACAAGCAAGAAGAAGCTGGAAAGAGCAGACAGCGGGGAGGGCGGAGCCAAGGAGGAGGTTCACCTCTCTGATAGGCTGTGGAGGTTGACTGACAGGCTCTGCTGGCCTATCGGGTTCCAAACGTTCTGCCTGAGGAGGTTCGGAGTCAGGGGCAGGTTCAGTCTGAGGGGGGCTGGGGCCAGGGGAGTTTGGGGGCTGGCTGGGACATGTTTCATCAGAG